TTACAACTTTAAAAGCACAACTATAATGATGTGGGAAAATACCTGAACAAAGCTGAATATATCTATCTATCTATCTATCTATCTATCTATCTATCTATCTATCTATCTATCTATCTATATATATATATAGTATTCAGCTTTGTTCAGGTATTTTCCCACATCATTATAGTTGTGCTTTTAAAGTTGTAGCAAAGTTTTGGCATCATCTGCCATCATCAGGCTTCTGCATTGTGTTCACCTGTATTCTTCACTAATGTACTTACTAACAGCCAACGGATTCCAAAGAAAGAAGATTACCCATCTAATCCAAAAAGAAACCCCAACCAAAATCCAAGACAGAGAACAAGAGAACGGCAAAGCCCTCCTCCCATATATAAAAGGCACTACAGACAAAATCAGCAAGATCCTTCAAAAACACAACATTAAAGCAGCATTCTGCACAAACAGAAAAATATCCACCATCCTAAGAAACCCTAAAGACAGAATCGAGTTAGAAAACCAAGGAGTATACAAAATCCCTTGCACTGCCTTCCCCACCACATACATCAGACAAACTAACAGAAGAATAAGTGCACGCATTGAAGAACACAAGAACTCAATCAAAAAAGAACTGACCTCTTCCCTAGTCCAACACCTTAAAGCCACAGGATATGAGATTGACTTTAAAAATACTGGAACTATCGCCAAAACCAAACACCTCAACAACAGAATAATCAGAGAAGCCATAGAGATAGAAAAACACCGACACAGCATGAATAAATGAGATGATACCTCCCGCCTACCAGCCATTTGGAAACCCGCCCTCATGAACAGACGAGTACCTAACATGAAGAATGACACTAGACCCACATCCACGAGGGCCACACAAGATGCTACCACCACACTTCCATGTAGAAAGCAGACTCACACCCACACAGAAGATGAGACACGACCACGGACCAGAAGCCGCACTGCAGCTGCATCACTACCCACTTCAAACCCCTCCGACCCATACATGAAGCGAACTGACGCCCACCATGAAGATGCAGCACGACCATGAATGCGAAGCCAAACAGCAGGATCACAGCTCACACAGCTCAAATCCCCCAGCAACTAAGACTAACCTGAGCACAACCAAGCCACCACCTGAACAGAACACACCCCTAGCCAATCATAACACAGCCAACCCTCCAACCAATCAGAACGCAGCCAAACCCCCAACCAATGAGAACACCCCCCCACCCAATCAGAACTCAGCCAAGCCCCCACCCAATCAAGTCACACCCCCACTAGCAGTTAAAAGGAAGAAGCAGCTGCAAGCTGCACAAAGAAGCACAAAGCCGAAGACACAAGCCTGGGGATGATGAATGAATGAGACTTTATCGAAACGTCGCCTAGATACTTCTAATTTTACGTGGGAGAAAACCCGAATAACCAAAGATCCATATATATATATATTCAGTTTTAAATTTGGGGCTAGCCTACTGCTGTGCCAGAATGGTTTTTTCTTCATGAGGTCATTCATCATTTATTAGGATGCAGTAAAAAAGCTGGAACACGCTTCCTCACTAGTCCAACACATGAAAGCAACAAGTCATAGCATTGACTTCAGTGGCACCAAAACCCTAGCCACTATAGAAAACCTCAGCCACAGAATTATCAGAGAAGCCATAGAGATTGAAAAAAGACCTGAAAGCATGAATAGAAGAGATGATTCCACCAGACTGTCAATTATTTGGAAGCCTGCACTCTCAAACAAAAAAATCTCCACACTAAAAGCCAGGTAAACACCTGGGCACAAACAGATCCCCCCTGATACCTCCAGCTCAAACACACCCCAACCAGGCACCCAGATGAAATCTAGTTTCCTAATAAATTATAGCCATCCATTTACTCAGAGCCAAGCTGCACTAAAAGCCTCCAATACTGGAACACAATGTTGCCAGCCAATCAAGACAAAAAAAGCCACAAAACAGACAGAAGATATTAGAAACACCAATCAAGCAGAACACAGCAAATTCCAAGACCAATAAACACAGACAAGACTTCCAACCAATCAGGATGAAGAAAAAAACATTCTGGCACAGCAGTCGGCTAGCCCCAAATTTAAAACTGAAACGGCTGTGAAAGTCTGACTCACAGACGAACACAATACAGAAGCCTAATGATGGCAAATGAGATTCTGCCGAAACGTTGGTACAACTTTAAAAGCACAACTATAATGACGTGGGAAAATACCCGAACAAAGCTGAATGCCATTGTTTTGTTTTGGTTAATCAAAGGACATGCACTCAAGAAACTGAGCCTGCCTTAAATCAATCTCTCTCTCTCTCTCTCTCTCTCTCTCTCTCTCTCTCTCTCTCTCTC